ATGATGGACTGGGGACGGGTGGAGGTGGCAGGAGGTGGCAAAAGTCAATCCTAGCAACTGACAGAGTGCCTTTAACTCAGAATCTAATTATCAGTTAAACGGACAGGGTTAGACAGCCCTGTTGCTTCAACAAAAAGTTTGTCACTTTCCTTTCAGAGAAAGGACAGCTATGGCACCTCCTAAGTTTGGTTGATTGTAAGGGGAACATTCATGAGATTCCTTGTGTGACAACAATAGGGATGGAGATTCTGATGGTTTGTTAAAAATGCTGAGAACCTTCAGAACATTGGCCTGAGGTCTAAGATTAAAAATAGTTTATGCTTTAGCTACAGCACTAAGTGGTGTGACTCCAGGGAGGAAAAGGTAACATGAGTCTGTAGTTTTTTATGTAACTGGCATGTTTAATTTGCAAAACCCAAGGGAAAAAAAAAGAATATTTACTCCTGCATTATACTGATTTCATGTGGGAGGGACATTTTGTGAATTTACTGAAGAAATGCTCCTACTGAATTTTACAGGGCACTCGGGTTACATGTTAACAGGCTATATTAGAAAAGAGAGAGAGAGAGAGGCAGGCAGCACTCATGTTGGGAAAGAATCTTAATGCTTGGTGTAGGAAGTTGAGATGAGAGAAATGACAGATGTAGAGCTTATTGAATTTTTTGCCAAAACTTTCTTTTCATTAACAAATATCAATCTAGTGGAACTGAGACTTTTTGCAACAACATGCCAGTTACAAAAAATCTTTTGCCAGGAAGGGTTTCTAAGGTCTAGAGTAGAATTTCTGGTGGTATGTCAGATATAGGGAGACCCTTCCCAGAATAGCAAATAGTCAGACTAGATGGATGAGGGGAGACAAATTTAGTTATGTATGTAGTATTGACCAGTTCCAACAGGGGAGGTTGAGAGAGAGGACCCATCCTACCATATGCAGTAGCTTTGTAGTAAGGGGAATCAGCTAGGTAATGGGAGAATGGCAGATAAGAGGCTTGAACTTGAGTGCCTCGTATCTTAGACGCTCTTGCTGTCTTCCCCTCATCCCCCCCCCAATCATTTTTATTAGAATTTTAAAAAAAATGTTGGTTTTATTCTGAGGTTGAACATGGAAATTTCAGAAATCACAATAGATTCAAGTGAGAGGAAAACCATTTCCAATCAACTCTTGAAGCTGAGAGCTGAAGAGTAGGAGTATGCTGATGTGGTTCAAGTCAGCACTTAGGCAGGCATACCTGAGCTAGCTCTGCACACGCTAGCTCTAGAACTAGAAACAGTGCAACTGGAATCACAGTTCTGCATCTGGGCTAAATACCTCTGTTGTGAAACAAGGCTGCATCTTAAACCATGTTGATTCTAGTACACAAGTACTGAGTGCTTATAGGTAGGTTGGAAAATCTATGCATGTCACTGCACTGTGATGTGTAGACATGTCTTAGATGGAATCTCAGGCATAGAGAGAAGATTGGGGAATTGGCGGGGGCAGAAGGAGGTTGTAAAACGAAGTGTAGTGTTGGAGACTGAAAAACAAGTGTTCTTGGAACTAGAGAAAAGACCAAGGACTTAAAGTATTTTGTATCTCAGGTAATCAGGAGTACATGGGAATAGCAATATCACTATGAAATGGGAGAAGGCCAGATGTTAAACCTGGATCCACTTAGGAGAGCAAGTCTTTTATTTATTTATCTGAACCCCTGTCTATAAAATATTTAACTAAATTTTTGTAGCTTTAGGTATAGGTTGCTAAATGTGTTACAAAATTAGTAGCGGTAACCTCACCTTATTGAAATGCAGGTTGCTGACTTCCATGAAGAATTGGTGGCCTGCAGTATGTTTCTTTATCCAGATTTGCTGACACACAACAAATCACACTTTTAGTGCCATAAGTTTAAAAGTATAAAAATAACAAAAGGGAGTTCTTTTTCACACAGCATGCAACTAAAATGTGGATTTCATT